AGTCATGGCGTCATCAAACTACTCCTTTGTTTCTTTGTTTGTTTTGAAAACGCGCCCTTTAATGGCAAAAACGTACATATTGTGCCTTTAAGAGGTTAAAAAAAATCTTACCGACCCCAGATGTTTAAATGGTGGCGTATATACATTTTTAATAATAAAAAATATGTATAATGTATTTAATAAACTAAAATTGCAAGTGAATGATTATTTTATTAACTTTTTTTATTAATAGTATTACTTTTATTAATATAACTAATAGTTAGATATTTGTTATTATTAAACTAAAATTAATGATTATTTTATTATTAACTTGTTTTATTAATATACATTTTATTAATATAATTAATAAATATATATTTATTATTTAATGTCAAAAATGCAGCTGAATTATTATTTTATTAACTTTTTTAATATTATTGTTTTATTTCATAGTTAATGAATAGATATTTATTATTTTATTACAAAATTGCAGTGGATGTTAGTATTAATATTTCTTTAGAATCAAGGAATGGTACAGATGTGGAGTGCGCAGCCCATTTTTTATAAAGTGGCGAGGCCAATAAAAAGAAGGGACTTGATGCCTTTGATAAAACCCACTACAGTTTCCACCATTAGCCCTGATGTTGTATTTATGTACCAGACATAGTTTAGGGTTTTGCTGTCTCTGTTAACCTGTGTTTTCTCTGTCTTTCCGGATCATTCAGGCGCAGGTGCTGCCAAACCTGAGTCCTCCACAGCTTCCAGTGGACAGCCAGTCACATCTCAGAACGGTTCTTCTCTCAGCCTCTTGGGGGCGTATACAGACAGCGATGACAGCAACTCTGACTAGGCTGGAAAAAAATTTGGCAGACTGAAATTAAATGTTTATTTTCAGACCGACAAAACTGACCAGCTCTCTTTTCACAGACCACTTTAAGTTTCCTTAACCTGGACTCTTTAAAATTGCAATTCGAGAGATTTTTATTTTTCAGTGATTAACTTTTTAGCTGGAGGAGCATTGTTTATGAGAAGTTGTTTCCATTGCCTGGATTTCATTCGGTCTATTAGATCTGCATCATCCCGATGTCTCTAATGTACTCTATAATGTGCTTCGTATGTATTATGTACTCTATAATGTAGTATTTGTTTCTCCATGTTAGCTCAATCAATACGAGGAAATGCATTTGAGGGTTTCAGTGGAGATAAGTGAATCTGAATCTAATTTCGGCTGATCATCTCTAATCCCATATCATCCCATTTCATCTTTCCAAACATCAGACAAATAAAATGTTCCTCGTGTTTTGTTTCCGAGCACAGACTATTTTTTCAGTTGTGTTGGATTTAGCAAATATTTAGAAATACATTTCAGATATATTATTATTTATCTATATTGTGAGCTTCCCAAAAAGCGTTTTATAACACTGCCGAGTTAAGGCTGCTTTGTGCCCGCTCAAAATTCAGTGTATGCACAACGCAGCATAAAAGCCAGACTGAATCATGTTGGCTCACACCCAGCTCAGCCCCTAGCCTCAAAGAATACAGCTGTAATTGCATCACATTGTTTTGCATTTATGCCATCTTTGAGCAGCATTAAACTATGGAAAACCATTTCTGCCATGGAATAAAAAAAGGAATTTTCAACTTTTTATGTGAGCTTATATCTTGCAATTCTGAGTTTATATCTCACAATTCCGAGGAAAAAGTCATAGTCAATAAAAAAAATAAAATAATGGTAATTGCGACTTCTCACAATTTTGACTTTGTGCATTTCTGAGTTTAGATCTTGCGATTCTAATAAAGAAGTCAGAATTGTGTGGGGGGGGGATTCACAATTTTGTTGTTTATTCCGTGGCAGAAACAGGCTTCCATATTAAACGTTTTGTGTAGATGCACCTAAATGCCACATGTGAAGCGCTTGTGAACCTCTGCAGTGTACATTTGGCAAAAGTTACTTAATTTGACATCCGCTAATGGCATCAGTGGCTTGTTTTGGTGTTCAAGGTAACACTTGCTAATGTGATGTTAATGCAGTCCAATGTGTGGATAGCCATTATTCACCATCTCCCATATTGATCCACCAAAGTGCTGGTGACCTTCTAACCTTACAAGTTGACCTCTGTATGCTGATGGAGAAGGTGTTAATGAGAGCTGGGTTGACAGATGGGACACGTAGTGAATTGGATTGCTTCCTTTAGTGTGTGTGGTTAACCAGAAGCCCTGCTTATATGCATTTTATTGCACTTAAATCTCTTTGTTTTATCTAAAAACCCTGCACTTTCTTAATAACTGTGCTTTGCAGACATGCAACATTGATTTTGCACAGTGCAAAGCCAAAGCACGAGCCAGCATGTGAAATTAAATGCCTCAGCAAGAACAAAGACAATGCAACTCTCTCCAGAGGGCTCAACAACAAGTCGAGCTTGTGTGTTGCTCAATGCAATCCGATGCAACACATCCATCCATCTGCACGTGCACACACTCGTCACTTTTTGAGATTCCCCTCACAGTTGCTTTAAATACTCGCTTCCAACCGTGCATCATTGAGAGGTGAGTGTTTTGCAAATGGTTTCTAAAATCTTTTTAGGAGATAATAATGTCGTATTAGATGAAAAATCTGCACGCGCTCGTCTGTGAGTATCCATTGGGATTGCGCATTGCATAGATAGCAAGCAAGCCGGCTAACAAATACAGTTTACATTTGTTGGTTTTTACTTTTGTGCTCCAAATTAGTTAAGTATTCGTCTTCTGTGTTTAATTTACTATAGTAATCGTGTATATAATCACATTTGTCGACAGATAAAGTGACTATAATGTGAGCTAGCGGAGTTTAAAGATGTTAGCCGGGTTGCTAACATTAGTTTTAATCTATAATAACAGTTTTTGTCTATTTCAGTCAAAGAAACATCAGAATCTCTCTGTTATGTGCTAACTTATAGGGGGAAAGATAAGAAAGTGGGTGTGTACAGTTGGTGCATGTTATTGTTTTGACAGGATTCTTTGCCCAGATTGAGCAGTGCAAGTTTGTTTTGTGTGTGTGTGTGTGAAACTTTCTTTTTGAATAATGTTGATTTATTTGTTTTCATTTATATGAAATCATCGCCATCATGTTTAATGTAGCCACCAAGTACAAAAGCATTAACAGCTGATATATATAGGCTATACGAAGTGTGTTTGTTTAAAGGAACCGCTCGCCAAAAAAATTAATTATGTAACGGTTCACTCACGCTGATTTTGTTCCAAATCCTTTTGTTTTCCATCTTCCATGAAAAACAAAAGCAGTTGTTAGGAAAAATGTGAGGGGCTAACAACCTCAGTCTCTATTCACCTTCACTGCATCGTTTTTCATCCAATGAAAGTGAACGAGACTGTGAATCTTTGGTTTAAAAAGGACAATGAGCATCATAAAAGTTGCTTATATAACTAATTTGGTGTGTTTTAAGTCATATGAGAGATTTCTGTGAGAAACAGACCTAAATTTAAGTCACTATTGACTGAATTGTCGATTGACTGACATGGTCACCATTCCCTTTCACTGGATGAAAAAGAGCTGTCTGGTCATTCTGCTAAATAACTACTTTTGTGGGGGATTGAAAGTCATACGGATTTGGAACAACATGAGGTTGAGTAAATTATTTTTGTGTTATCGCTGTAAAATGTATTTTCCAGTGGGGCTGGTCTAGAGGTGGAGGCTTAAAGTAATCCACAACTGCCTTTCTTTTACATTTCTTGCATTTTTAAATACGTCATAGCTGTGCTTTTGCTTTCCAGATCAATTTATTGCAAGCAAATAGGCGTTGGATGTTCTAAAGCATCGATGCATTGGGGAAACTGAGGTGAGCTGTTGCACAATGTCATATTTGCCATTTATTGACACTCTGTGAGTAATAAGTAACTCATTGGTTAGGTGTTTCAGGATTTATGGATGGTGTTCCATGGAAGAACTATAGGATAAAGTCCTTTTTAGAAGCATAACCGCTCTTTTAATGTTTATTTTGATCTGTTTCATTCTTGTCTTGGTCGTAGACCCATGGCAAAGTGGTTTAGAGATCACCTAAGTTTTGGCAGCAGGAAAGGACCGCCTCAGCCCCCGACACCGGACTACACCGAAAGCGAGATCCTACGGGCCTACAGGGCTCAGAAAGAGCTGGACTTTGAGGACCCGTACGAACCCACGGAAAACCGGGTGCTGAACGGCTCAGGGTCGGTGGAAACGTTCCCCGCGTTTGGCACGGTGCTGTCCAACGGCGTGGAGGTGAAGATCGTGTCTCCCAAACACAGACTGATAAAAGTGGAATCTCAGGAATTCGGGCGAAGCAAAATACCACTGAACATTGTGACCTTTGAGGAACCGCAGGCCCAATTCGGGCGTAGCAAAATACCACTGAACATCGTGACCTTTGAGGAACCGCAGGCCCCTGTAAGTTCTTGTTTTCTTAACATATAGAGAGCTTAAATGGCTCTTACTGGACTGTTATCAGTAAAAATGATGTGCTTTGAAAGATTTCCTGTGTGGATATATGGGAAAAATTACTGGGATTGGCCAAGAACCAATCCCTGAAAGTGTAAAAGCATAGTTTAGTGGTGTACTTTAGTGTGCTCATCATGATGAATAATTGTGATTTCAAGCCTTTTTCCTCTTCTTATGTGTACTTGAATGTCATAACAATGACAAATGTTTCTTTATATGGAATTATTTTACCAGAACATTACTTGTATGGTTGTTTATCTTGGCGTAAAGACCCTCCAGTTCATTTCTTCCATCATGAATAGATCAATATATCAATGAGGCGGTTATGAGAGTCACAGTGGATGTTTTACTAGGATTACATTGATGTCTGATTGTTTTGAGTAGATTTGTTCGATGCACATGTCATGGGTGAGTTTTGCAGATGTCATAACAAACCAAACAGATGCACAATTTGCTCGTGTTTCCTTAGCTCGGCCGGTAATAATTGTCTTTTGTCATCAGAGGTGAAGGGTGTGAGTGTTGGGAATCAATTTCATTAACACAAATACAAGTAATCCCAATGCCTGCGGCTTTTATAGACCCACACACCAACCCCCTCTCTCACTCGTTTCGGTTTTTAAATGGATTGTGTGTCTAAAAATGAAAATGTTATGTCACTCCAAATTTTGTTTCTAATAATCAATTAGTAATTGTTATAATTAATAATAATAATTCTGCAGTGAAACAAAAAAGTGATGCGCTTTTCTGTGCAGTGTAAGCATAATGTAATCAGTGTCTGACAATTTTCAGTCTGGACAAAAAAAGAATCATAAAAAAAAGTCCATTTGACTTAATTTTGGTATTATTTATGTACTATTATAGTATATACTTTCTAGTGTCTGCTTTCAAAAGAGACCACGATTATGTTTGTAGACCAAATGGTTTAAGAGCTGCGGCCTTTACATTTTGGTTTGTGGTTAAGGGATTTCTAAAAACAGCTTTTATTTTTAAATTAAATTGAACATTTAATTTTTATTTTTGAATTTTGAATTTTTTTCAAGTTTTACTGATTTAGTATTAATTTTTGTAATTTTAATAAATAGTTTTAGTAATTTTGGTGTGTCATAATAGTTACTGTTTTTTTTTGTTTTTGTTTTTTTAAATATGTAGTTAGTTAATGTAGTGTTCATTTAAATTTCAGTTTTAGTTCATTTTAGTACATGAAGTTAAACAAAATGAAAATGAGAAGTACCAAATTTTTTTTTTAACTAGTTAACCATAATAACCGTAGTGGATGAAAATGCTTCATGTGTGTTTACATGAGCTAGCAGAATCGCGTACTGTGTAAAACTCTGCAGTTATCTTCGTTTCGGATTCATATGATCAATCATCATGATCACTCAACACTTGTTCTTTATTCTTTTCACCAGGTGGTTCCCTCGGCTCCTGCAGTTGGGGAGACTGATTACTCGGACCCGTTTGACGCCAGACCGGACCCGCGGCCCAGACCCGGCTGGGAGCAGAACGCCGTCGAAGCCTGCAGCAGTTACATGGAGCCGTTTGAGGCCCAGAGATTCATAAGCGGTACAGCAATTCCCCACTATATCGCTTATAATTCCAAAGAGAGCATTCATTCAGCCATTGTTATTCCAGTATGTTGTAATTTGTGGTCTGCGGTAACGTTTACATGTTTTTCAGAGCTTGACAACTCCAGTCCTTACTCACTTTCATAATACTCATACATAATGTAATTTCGTGTTGTCTGGTGCAATTGAACGTGTTTGTCGTATGTCAGAGCTCCAGCACAGCACAGATTGGGGTAGAAACAGCCCGCAGCTCTACGACAGCCCTTACGAGGAGAGAGTTCGGTCCCAGGCGGCCCCAGCGGAGGACGAGAGAGAGAGCCGTCTGCCCCAGGACGACGAGAGGCCGGCGGATGAATACGACCAGCCCTGGGAGTGGAAGAAAGAGAACATCTCCAAAGCCTTCGCAGGTAAGACATGTTGCTGGCTAGAGATGGGCTCCGTTCCACAGCAGCACGTTTTCATCCTCTTTTGAAAATGACGTTGACTGCACTACAAGCAGGGTACAAAATTAACAGTCAGCAAATGTGAGTATATTAAAACAGTGTTATTTGATAGGTGGCTGGTGTTTTAGAGCAGCTTCCTTTGGTTTTCTGCCAAAGTAAAAGCTCTGAGGTTTAGCACTTGAAAGCAAAGAAATTTAGACAGCCATAAATATCAAATTTACAGTTATATATTATTTTACATATACTGTAGAGTATTATTATTATTATATATCAATCGTTTACTCTATAGTATTATAGCAATAGTAATATACTTCTTACTATTAATAACAATACATTGATTTATGTATTTTAATATGAATTATTATAATAATAATAATAATAATAACAAATTGAATATATTAAATAATAAACTAGTAGTAGTAGTAGTAATATTTCTTTATTGACTTTTGTAGTTTATAATAATAAATAGTAATAAATATGATTAAATTATATTTAACTATACTATATAACTATATTTTTATAATTTTAATATTAATTCTAATTAAAAATATTAATAAATTATTATGACATTTATTATTAAATATTAATATTTATTAATAAATAAATATTAATGATAATATTTTAAATCACTCAGGCCTAAGTAACTGCCTGCTTTTTAAATAATAATGCAAATACTGTTTTGTGGCAGAGTAAAAGTATAATAATGTTATTATGAAAATATAATGTTTTATGGCCAGTCAATTTTCTCAAGTCAGTTCAAGTTAGTTTTGAACCCTGACTACTGTTTGATGCATCAACAGTTTAATTCTTAAGCACAGTAGTTGTCAGTCGCAGCTCTAAACATTGGATTTGTCAGCTTTCAATAAAATGATCTGTAGGTGCAGTAGGAAGATGTCTGTGATTCTGTTGTGAGGAGAGGGATGTGTGGAGGGTCTTGATGGAGACAGGAGTAGAGCAGTAATGCAGAAAGATCAGATCTGCAGAAAGTGTGACTTCTGCTCTGCATCACATTCCACACACACACACACACACACACTCAGATCATCTCTCCATCTGTGACTGAAATGTCACGCATTCTTCATCACATGGTCATTTCACCACTTCTGATCAGATTGCCGGTTGCTCGTGGATTTTTTCACGCTCTGTCAGATGCATATTCCTCTTTACCAAGACAGCAGGAACAGTGATGCTGGGAGATAGTAACTAGCGTTGTTTGCTAAAGCATGAAACACTACTTTATTGCTTATACTGAGGGATAGTGATTTAAACAAACCCTTAATCGTAAATATATAATGTTAATGCCTTTTCTAAAAAAAATAAAAATAAAATTGGGGTTGGAGATGTTCTTAATTGTTCTTAGTTTCACTATGTTCCAAAATAGAATTTTAAGATATACTGCATAATTTAATACATATATAATTTTATGGGGGGGGAAAACAAACTAAACCAATTAAATCACATTTAATTATTAATAAAAATATATAATTTTACTTATAAAAATGTAAAAATGTATAATATTTGAAATATCAATAAAATATATAAAAATTAAATTAGATACAATTAATTTTAATGTATATTTTTAACTCTTTTTGGTTGTATTTTTAAAGTTTATAATTGTTTTGTAGTAACATTTGCAGCAATAATGCATTTTTTTCATTTGTGAAGGTTTATAAGTAAATCATATTTTAAATAATAATTAAAGTAACTGAATAATAAATATTAGTTGTTAGTAATAGTAGTATTAGTAGTAAATACTCAGTTTATTTATTTTGAATGTACATACATATTTTTTAACCTGCTCTTTTTGCTTGCATTTTAAAAAGTTTGTTTATAATTGTTTTTGTAAGTAACGTTTTTTTTGTTTTGTTTTTTTAACTCTTAAGTTTAGGGACCAGTTCTCACTATTAACTAGTTGCTTATTAGCATGCATATTACTAGCATATTGGCTGTTTATTAGTACTTATAAAGCACATTCTAATGCCTTATTTTGACCATATTCTAGATCCTGTAATCCTACCCCATACCTAAACTTAACAACTACCTTACTAAGTATTGATAAGCAGCAAATTAGGGGTTTATTGAGGCAAAAGTCGTGGTTGAAAGTTAGTTAATAGTGAGAACTGGTCCCCAAACTAAAGTGTGACCCTTTTTTGAATGTTTTGTAGTAACTTTTGAAGCCAGAGACTGGGAACAATGTACACTGCCCCGTGACGAGGCACCGAGGAAGGCAGGAGCGTCCAGAATCAGCCCTCCATCCAGCAGAGCCACCAGCCTGCACAAGCCCAGCAACACACACGGCATCCTGGGAGAGAGGGTGGATCCCACACTGCCCCTGGAGAAACAGGTGTATGTATTTACACATGAACAGCCTGAGCTGTGCTGTGCTGTTCAATGAATTTAACACAGGAAACTGGCAGATGTATAAGTGAAAAGTTGTACTATTTAAGTACAAATAACATAAATAGACAAATAACATCATGACATGATTGTCAAATGAGTACACATATGATGTGGTACGGTTAAACATTTACCTCAGGAAAGTTATCCAAGTAGTAGTAACTAGCATAAGTAGCTAGTTGAATTCAAGAGAAGAGCATACTGCTAAAATTTCAAACACTATCATTATTTTTCCACCACTCTGCATCATATTTGCTGAGTGAAACCCAATACTTAAAGGGATAGTTCATCCAAAAATGAAAATTACCCCATGATTTACTCACCCTCAAGCCATCCTAGGTGTATATGACTTTCTTCTTTCAGATTAATACAATCGGAGTTATATTAAAAATGCCCTGGCTCTTACAAGCTTTATAATGGCAGTGAATGGGGGTTGAGATTTTGAAGCCCAAAAAAAGTGCATCCATCCATCATAAGAAGTGCTCCACACGGCTCCAGTGGGTTAATAAAGCCTTCTGAAGTGAAACGATGTGTTTGTGTAAGAAAAATATCCATATTTAAAACTTTTTATATTTTTTTTCACATTTAAAGGGGTCATATGATGCTGCTAAAAAGAACATTATTTTGTGTATTTGGTGTAATGAAATGTGTTTATAGGGCTCTACAGTGCGACCATTTCAGTCGCATTTGCGCTTCTAAAAAGAAAAATAAGCGTAGAGCCCTGGTTTATGCGGTTTAAAGTTCAAAAAACACATTATTTTCCACATACCCAAACAGCCACAGAAACTGACAGTTTTTGTGAAAAAAAAGCTTATTTATAAATTTATGTAAATTACTTTGACATTAAATGGAGTATTTAAACATATGTTTCCAATCCTTTGCAGATTGTAAGTTAAAAGATAAGTTTTGAACGCTGAAAGATTGGTTCTGTGAAAACCCTAATAGTGGCCCATCTGTGTGTGTGTTTCAGATGGTACCATGGTGCATTGACTCGCTCAGAAGCTGAATCTCTGCTCACGCTGTGTAAGGAGTGCAGTTACCTGGTGAGGAAAAGCCAGACCAGCAGAAACGACTATTCGCTGTCTCTCAGGTACAGTCTTACAACCCAAAAACTCATTCAGTGCCATCATTTACAGTGCTCTGTGGAATGAGTAGCTTAGTCACTCCCTCACAAGTAGACAGTTTTGTCTTTTTCATTTTCATATCAATTTCTGCTGCAGTTCAGAGTTGTGTGGTCATGACTTACCTCAGGGCTTTTTGGTTTGGTCCAGTCCCTGAGGACAAAATTAAATCTTTCTAGAAACAAGGCCACTGATGATCTGGGCGTTCTATTAGTGTGCTGTAAATTAAACCACTAGCTACCGTTTTCTGCTGTGTTGTGATTGTTTTCAGAGGTATAGTAATTGAAGTACTTGTCCCACATTCGCTTTTGTTTCATGAAACAGTCCGAGTCATTTGACTTTATAAATAGAGCAAATTGTTTCTGCTAATCTAGGTTCATGTTTCTCTTTCTGCATCTTCATGGGAAATGAACTTTAAATAAGCATTAAGGCCAGAGTCTTTAGTGATTCTCTGGACACTAAATATTTACATGATTATGCACTACTGTAAATACTCTACATTTTTTTATGTTGTACTACAGCTACTCTAAATGAAACATCTGATATTTATGTTTTATTAAAATTTTGACAATAAAATCCCATTAGTTTGCATTGAAAGAGGACCAGAGTCATCTAGAAATCACACTGTTGTAGAGACTTGAGAGTGGTTTTAATTGGACTTGGCCAGTAAGCAACTAACTAGCAACCAGCCTGAACACCCTAGCAACCACATAGCAACGCCCTAGCAGCCAACTGGTGCAACCTCTTTTTATTTTTCTCTATCTAGATCTGCTCTCATTTATTAATTTGTTTCTTTTCCCCTCATGCTACATGCATATTCTACTGCTGGAGGGCAGTTACATCTAGCTATTCTAGCTCTGTGTAATATATTCAGGTTTGAGGTGTTTTGTGTGGGTCTGAATGCGTTTACCATGTTATTAATAATGTAGTGCCCACCAAAAAGCTTGACTGCTTTTCAGTTTTATGGGGGTGAGCAATATGACCAAAATCTTACATCATGGTATTTTAATCACATACTGATAAAAAAAAGTATAGCCTGAATGCACTGTAAGTTGCTTTGGATAAAAGCGTCTGCTAAATGCATAAATAAATAAATAATATTATATTTTAATCATAATTATTTCTGATTGTATAAATCACAATATATACTCATTTAATTTATAAACAATATAATTGTTTATATATTAATTATGTATGTGAAATGATCCAATAAATTAAATACTTCACAAATGAAATGTGCTTTATCTCATTTAATTATTTTTCCTTTTTATTTTCCCTTTTTATTAATGTGGCGAGTTGCAACATCACTCAGAAACAATTAACTCTTAATAATTTTATCCGTGACTTGTTTAAGACACGGACAGTTTCTGTATTTTCACATATCTCATGTCTCCAGAAAAGTTTGTTAAGACCCAATATCTAAAAGGGCATTAAGATATCTTTAATACTTCTTGAGTTAAAAGCATGCAAGCTTTGGAGAA